TATCTAAAGAAACAAAAAAAAAAAACCCCAAACCTTAAACAAACAAGTAATGAAAACACTATATATCAGAGATAAATGGATACATTTCAAGTAGAGATCAGAGGAAAATTCAGAACCTTAAACACTTACATCAATAAAAATGAAAGAATGAAAATGAATGAATTATAGCAATGTAAGACATGAAACAAAGAACAACAAGTGAACGAAAAGAAAGCACAAGGAAGAACACAATAAAAGTAAGAGCTGAAAAATAATGAAGATTAGGAATAGAAAACAGTAGGGTCACTTTTTTTTTTTTTTTAATAGGCTCCACACCCAACGTGGGGCTTGAACACATGACTCTGAGATCAAGAGCTGCATGTTCTACCAACTGAGCCAGCCAGGTGCCTTAAAGCAGTATGTCAAAGTAATAAATCAAAATTTTGGTTCTTTGGAAAAAGTAACAAAACATTTAAACCACTAGCTAAATTAATCAAAGGAAAAAGGGGAAAAAAACAACTTCAAAAGGAGAATAAGAAGAAATAGACAAAAATGGAGCAAAAGGGAGGGGAGGAGTAGAGGGGGAAATCAAGCCTAAATCATTTTGGAACAGTATTTTGACTAAATCCAGTAAAGCTAAAGAAAAAAACAACCCTGAAAATAAATGTTGGACTCTATTAATAGTTTTTTTTTTTTCCACATTGACAACAGTTAGATATTCTGAAACTGCTTTTGGGGTCTTTTAGTATGAGCAAATAAGTAAATATTTTGACAGTAATTGGAATCAGGTTTCTGACTGTTTGAGATGAGCCTTGCAGATGTGAAAAGGGGAACTCCAACATGTGCTCTATTGTATTGATTGGAATTGGATGTATCAGTATAAACTCATGGGTTTTAACATATCTATTTTTATCTATCTATCTATTGACAGAAATGGAAAGGGGTATAGCTAAATGTGAATATCTAGATCTACCTATATTTATAGATACCTCGCATATCTTATAGCAACAAGCACAAAAAAGTGCTTGAAAAATGGTGGAACAATTAAAAGGAAGGAGGAGAGGAAGGAAAAGTTCTTCCTCGAAGTAGACTGCCAACTAATATATGCAGAAGGGATGATGGAATTAAGAAGTCACCATTCGGCAGCATCATGGTAATAAATGATTTGGGCAAAATCCTCAACTGACTCTAGCAGTTTAATAAGAACTTGGTATTTACATAGTCTCAAAGTATTTCCTCACAAAATTCTTAGTAGTTGGAAAGGAAGAATAGTAACTTTACAGTGGAGAAACTTGGCATACACCACCCTAACCAAGTGATCGCAGTTAACCTCACCATTGTTAAAATAGTCATTATGTACCTGCTCCTTTGATGAATGAGAAAGACAGAGCACTTCTCTTTTGGTGTTTCTGTCAAAAAGCCATGAATCTACTCATAAGGAAACCAGGAAACGGTTAGTCAAATCTAAATTGAGTAACATTCTACCAACTATCTGGCCTATTCTCTTCAACAATATCAAGGTCAGGAAAGACAAAGAAAGATGGAAGAAGTGTTCCAGATTAAAGGACAAGAAAGAAATATGACAGGGTGCCTGGGTGGCTCAGTTGGTTAAGCGACTGCTTTCAGCTCAGGTCATGATCCCGGAGTCCTGGGATCGAGTCCCACATCAGGCTCCCGGCTCAGCGGGGAGCCTGCTTCTCCCTCTAACCCTCTGCCTTCTCATGCTGTCTTCTCTCTCTCTCTCAAATAAATAAATAAATAAAATCTTTAAAAAAAAAGAAAGAAATATGACAATTAATGAAGAATGTTAGGTCAGATTTTGGACCAGATTTTTTAAAATTTGGGGATTTTTTTTGCTAAAAGGGATATTTTTGGGGCAGTAACACAATTTGAATAGGTATTTTAGATTAGAAAATAGCATTTTATTAATAATAATGTTCTGATTTTGATTATTGTACTTCAGTTATGTAAGAGAATGTCCTTGTTATTAGGAAATATACACTAAAGTATTTAAGAGTAAAGGGGTGTGATGTCTGCTATTTACTCTAAAATGGAAAAAATTGTATATGTAGAGGGAATCATACAACAAATATGGTAAAATAGAAAACAGTTGGGGGAATCTGGGTGAGGATAACTAGGAGTTCCTTGTACTATTCTTGCAATTTTTCTATTGGGCTATAATTGTTTCAATCTAAAAAGTGACAAGAAGGAAGTATTTAAAAATATTTGTAAGAACATGTAGGAGAATAACTTTGTTTTATAGGATTTTTTGAATTCACAGAAAGTACAAACCATAACGGGAAAGAATGATATATTTGAGTAAAGTAAAATGACACATTCACATACAACAGAGAAGTCTGTAAGTGGAATTGAAAGACAAGCCACAAACTAGGAGATGTTTGCTATGCCTAAGATTATATATAACATACTTTAAAAATTACAAATGATCAAATACAGAAATTAGCAAAGGATATAAATAGAGGAATCACTGAAGAAGGTAACAAGCATGTGAAAAGATAACCAACTGCATAAGAATTAGGGAGAAATGAATTAAAATAACAACCATATATCACTGAACACATAGTCAGATACTTGCTCAAAATTATACAATTGGATAATACCTATTATTGAAAGAATGAAGGGGAAAAGGAACTTTCTTAACTGGTTCAGCAATTCTGGAGATTGTTTACAAAGATCTAGTGAAGTTGGAGGTGTGAACAATTCCACCTTTAGACGCGTAGATAATCTCTAAAGGAACAGGAGAGGGTTGTTCATTGCAGCATTGTTAATAACTAGTGAGGAATTGGAAGCAACTTAATTGTTATTAACAGATGACATCAACAGATGACAACAGATGGATCAGTAATTTGTGGTATAATCATATAATGCATTTATTTTTTTTAAAGATTTTATTTATTTATTTGAGAGAGAGAGAATGAGAGACAGAGAGCATGAGAGGGAAGAGGGTCAGAGGGAGAAGCAGACCCCCCCCCCCGCTGAGCAGGGAGCCCGACATACAATGCATTTAAAATGAATAAAATATATCTACATGTGTTAACATGTAGAAATCTCAAAAAAAATCTTAGGTGGAAAAAGCAGGTAGCAGAAATTTATAGTGCAAAATTTATAGACACAGAAAACAATATGTATGTTGTAAACAAAGGAAACGGTGAGGTATGTTGTGAAAATTAGTAAAGGGAAACCTCACTAAAGTGGAGTTGGGAGGCTGGAAGAGGGAGCTGGTACCACTCCATGTCAATTACAGGAAGAATTGTCAATTACAGACCCTAAGGGAAGAACTCTCAGCAGAAAGAATGATCAATTACAGGCTCCAATAGGGAAAAGATGTACATTGTATCTCCTATAAGAAATCAACTACCCCTGCAATTCAGCCAATGAGAAACCCTGATCAAACCCTGAACTCTGCTTTTCTGCAATGGACTTTTGTTCAGAACAACCCCTCCCAACTTCCTCCTTCCCCATAAAATAACATTCCTCTCCTTTGTTTGTTAGACTTAGGGTTTTGCCTTAGCTAGAATGTTCCAAATTGCAATTCTTTGCCATTCCCAAATTGCAATTCTCTGTCGTTCCTGAATAAACCCATTCTTGATGCTAAGGTAACTTTTATTTTTAAGGTTAACGTTGTCTGTGAGTAAAAAAGGAGAGAGAGTTCCCGTCCTGGAATAATTTGGCATTTGAAGAAAGTCAGGTCAGTCTGATTACAATGCACTACCACTGAAGCCACAATGAGACAGGGCCCCTAAAACAGATGGGGGAGTGGAGAAGATGAAGGAACATTTCCCAGAGATGGCAAAGGCTTCCATGCCTCCTTCCCACACTGAACCAAGTCCTGAAAAATAAGAAGGGGTTACCCAGGTGAGAGGAAGGAAGGGTGTTTCTGGCAGATAGTGACATTTGCAAAATCCACAGGGGAGAAACCGCAGAGCCCGGTTTGGAAACTGCCAGTGGTTTCTCAGAGCAGCTAGGGTAGAGGAGGTGGGGGCAAAGAAAGCGTAGGGTATTGGTAGGCAACCCCGGACCATAGGCTCTGACGGGGTTAAGGAGTCTGCCTTCTGAGGGTTGTGGGAAGGCTAGAAGAATGTTGAAGCAGAAGAGTAACAGGTGCATCACCAATTATAAGAGGATGGCTCTGGAGGGAAGATCAGTTAGTTGGGTTTTTTTTTTTCTTTTCTTCCTTCCTTCCTTTCCTTTTCTTCCTTCCTTTCCTTTCTTTCTCTCGCTTTCTTTTTCTTTTTCTTTTCTTTCTTCTTGTTGTTTTAAAGAAAACCAAGCAGGAAATAATGGGGCCTCAACCGAGCCAGAGGAGGGGGTGACTGAGAGATACCGAAGTGTCCAAGCAGTAGGATTCGGGGAGGGATTGTCTGTAGGTGTGGGGACAGGATTCCAGGAGGCTCCTGGCTCGGGCATCTTGGGTGCATGATGGAACGACAGGGGCTGCCTTTTGTGCCACCTACCCCTGCCCCTGGCCACCCTAATTAGACCAGGAACGAGCACCTTACACATGTTTAGTTCAAGTATAAAAACGTACAGAGGAAGGACCGAGGATGGTGGTTAGGACTGAACGGGTTTTCATGGGGTGGGGGGGGTGGTTTTTGGATCCATCTCGAACGTTTTAACTACAAAATAAAAGCTGATGTAAATGTAACATTAGGCGCTGTTACATTTCTGAGAGCACGCGGATGTCACATCGTTTTCTGCACTCTTCTGTGTTTGAACTAAACATAATAAGCAAATGGCCAAAGTGCGTCAGAATCGGAGGAGCCTAAGCTCTGTAAAGGGGTTAAACCAGAAAGCAGCGGGGGCCGGGAGTGGTGTGGTTGTCAGTCTTTGTGTGCACAGCGCCTGTGGAGAGAAAAGCCTCGGGAGACCTGCACTCGGCTGCGGGGTGAGGGTGGGCGGGGGAGGAGGAGCGCGCGGGGAGTTTCCCGCCTGGCCCCGCCCCCTCCGGCCCGCCGCAGCTCCTCCTCCTTCCGTGACGCCGCCTCCCGTTTCTAGGTAACGTGGGGGCTGTTGAACAACGCGGCCGCAAGGCGGCCGCTCCCTGCCGACCCCTCTTCTCGGCCCCTTGGCCCTCGGACGCTGAGAGCCATGGCCTTGCCGCTGCTGCCTGGCACCAGTTTCAACCGCAACGTGAGTAGTGAGGGCGCCCGAGGTCAGAGGTCCCGGCCAGAATCTGGGGTCCGGGCGTGGCCACCTCCCCCGACCCTACTCAAGTATCCTGCGGCCGCTTCACCCCTGCGCACTGGGCACAACTTGGACCAAACTTTGTGGGCGGGGGGAACACTTACTCTCTGTCTCCCCTTTTCCCAGTCTCTTCTAACTGCATCTGGATGCTTGAACGACATCAGATACAGAAGTAGAGTCTTCACAGGTGGCAGGACCCGCGAAGGTAGCCAGTGGTAGTGACGTGATAAGAGTCATCGTTGAGCGTTTAAGATATGTAAGGTGCTGTGCTTTAGTCGCCCGGCACGGCATTTGCTGCTTAGGTCCTATTTTTATTCCCATTTTACAGTTGAGGAAACTGAGGCACGGGGCGATGAGTCACTCCCTCACTGGCCAGAGCTACACAGTTTCAGTGTGAAATTGGCTTTCTCCCAGGCAACCTGTTTCCACAGCCCAGGTGCCTAGTCATTGTCCTTAATAGCCTGTGTGAAAGAGAGAAACAGTTGCTGTTACGAAAGCCAAGAAACCTGGCCCTCTGGAGGCTGCTGGGGGCCGAGAGGGAAGGGTTCCATCAGCCTGTAAAGTTCGGTCCTAAGCTTTATAGAGAGAAGCATCCAAACCTGGAGGAGTTTTTTCTTCGTTGAGGATTGGGAGGAGTTCACTTCAAAACAAGATGAAAGTACAAAACAACACAACACGACAACACAAAAAACCCTGAGCACCAAAGAATCTTGCCAGTAATAAGTAGCCCCTTATTTAAACAACAGCAGAAAAGTGATTCGTGCTTTTCTTTACACTGGTCACCACTCTTCCCTTGGGTTTGCCAGTTGCGTCTTCGGAAGAAGGTAGGTGATAACACGGGTGGGAGGGAATTCGAGGGAGCCCCTCAAGGTGTTTGTGTAAACCTCTGGTAAATTTAGAACGCAGCAGGGGATTGAATGAAGCGTTTGACTTTCTGGATTCCGAGGTGTCTGTTTTCAAGTTGTTGGCCCTAAAGTCCCAGTTTCCTTTGTGGCTTCAGGCCACTAGATTCTGACCTCCACGGGTCGCTTGGCCGGACCGAGTTCCTTGTTAAACCGTGGTTTGTCCATTTTTTTGGTTGATGGGTAGACGCCGGCCTTCCCGCCCAGCATTGCCCTTTGCTAAGATTCAGCCAGCCACACCAAGGAAGAAAGACTCTGAGAGGCAGGACACGCAAAAAGATTCCAGAAGTAAACAAGCATGCAGTGTAGGAGTAAATTTAATAAAAATTGAAAGTAGAGCCCACAGCTTTGGGCCCCGCAACACTTCAGATGACCGATGTCCTCCTACTGCAGAAGTACCACAGCTCCCACATGCAGTGATGAAGAATAGGAAGGAAAAGCAGGGCTTTGATGAGATACTTTAAAATCTGCAAAGCTGTACTGAGTATACTTTGTTTTATTGTGAAGTACAACACGTGCAGAGAAATGCATAATGGATGAACACCAAGTGAACATCAAGAAACAGAGTATTACCAGTACTCCAAAAGCCTCTCCCTTGACTGGGGTTGCCAGATTTAGCAAATAAAAATATATGTCCCCAATACTGAATGGGACCCACTTAGACCGAAAGCTTACTTGTTGTTTATCTCAAATTCAAATTTAACTGGACATCTTCTATATTATGGGGCAACCCTGCCTATGGCTCTTTCTTGTCGTTACCCCCTTTGCTATTTAATGTCCAGAGTTAACTATCCTGAATGCGGGGACTGTGGTTAGGTTTTGCTTGCTTTTGAACTTGGTATCAATGTAAATGTCTGGTGTCTTTTGTGACTGGCTTGTGTTGAGCTCAATGTTATGTTAGACTTGTTCATGGGGCTGTCTGCAGAGATAGTTCGCCCATTTTCCTTGCTCTGTAGTATTCCATTGTGTGAGTATGACATCATTTAAATACCCATAGATAGAGATTTGGCTTGTTTGGGGTTATTAAGAATAGTTTGCTGTGACTATTCTTGTCCGTGTCTGTCGCTACAATTGCTAGATCATATGGTTTTCTTTTTTTTTTTTTAAGATTTTATTTATTTATTTGAGAGAGAGAGAATGAGAGACAGAGAGCAGGAGAGGGAGGAGGGTCAGAGGGAGAAGCAGACTCCCTGCCGAGCAGGGAGCCCGATGTGGGACTCGATCCCGGGACTCCAGGATCATGACCTGAGCCGAAGGCAGTCGCTTAACCAACTGAGCCACCCGGGCGCCCCATATGGTTTTCATTATGTCCAGCTTCAGTAGACACTGTCAAAGTGCTTAAACCAATTTAAATCCCCAGCAGCATGTTATGTTCCGGTCGCTCTACATCCTAACACTTGGTATGGTTGGTCTTTTAAACTGTAGTTATTTCGATCAACAAGTACAGGGAAACTGTAGTTTCAATCTGCGCTTACCCGATTCCTAATGAACTTGAGCATGATTTACACATTTATTGGTCATTTGGGTATTCTCCTTGTGTAATACTTGTTTGTCTCTTGTCTACTCTTTTTCCTGGGTTGTCTGCCTTTTTTTACTTAGTGAAATGTAGGAGTTCTATATAGACTTTGGATGTGACCCTTTTGTCCGACATCTGTGTTGGCAAATATCTTCTAGTCTGTGGCTGGCCTTTTCACTTTCTTAGTGGTGTTTCTGATAAGGAATTGTTCCTTTAGATTAGTGATTTTTGTTTTTTCTTTAAGAAATTGCTCCTTATGCCAAATATGATGGTATTTTTCTGTGTTGTCTTCTGGAAATTTGGTTGTTTTTACCTTTCACATTTAGATTTCTAATCTAGTATAAATGTGTGTGTGTGTGTGTATGTATGAAAAGAAGTAAGGGTCCGGTTATATTTTTTCCTATATGGATATTCAGTTGACCCAGAACCATTTGTTAGCACAGTTCAACAGAATAAGTTTTAAAGATCTCACTGGCTCTATGCCATGATTCATGAATTGACAGTATCCAGTTTAGCAGACAGGAGAGCTTTGAAGAGCTCTCCCAGGAAGACATTTTATAGGACTAAGGCAGGCATTACACTAGGCAAAAATTAGATTGGTTACTATAAGTTTACTTTCCTTGTGGGATATGATAACAAGGGCTTTTTAGGCAGATTACCTAACTCATGCTGATCAGGCAATTCATGATTGGCTGGTTTAAGATTCAATTTCTGGGACAGCCAAAACTAAGTTAAGTTTCAGTTTTTGACATGGGGCTTAGTGTGAGCGACTCCATTTAGGGTCTGTTGTCTTGTCTTTAACATATTTTTGGAAGAGACCACCCTTTCTCTACTTCTCTGCAGGGCTGCTACCTTTGTCACAAGTATCCAAATACATGTGGGACTGCTTCTAGATTTGTGACTATATTTAAAAAAATTATTTACTTTATGCTTCAGACCAAAAGGAGTGTGTGTGTGTGTGTGTATGAATTAGGGAATGACAGTATACTTATTAGATATCTTGGGCTGTCATTTAACAAACTAGTATTTATATATTGAGTATATATATATTTGTCATTTAACAAACTTGTATGTGCCTAATTCAGATGGCTGCATTAGCACTAACCTTGTTACTGACTGGTGCCAAAAAACTAATATTATTTTAAAAACTTGTACTTAGTTAAAAGATCATATGTTCTCTGGTGCATAGAGTGGTCAAAAAGTCAGTAGAGCCAAATCTGGCTTTTTTTTTTTTTAATCATCCCCCCGCACCCCTCACCTCCTGGAGATAGCATAATTACTGGCTGTTTGGGTTTAAAATTATAACACAAGCTAACTTTTATTGCTTTTCTTAGAAATTAAAAAGGAACTTGTTTCTCCCCCTGATTAGCTGCTGATAGTCATGAGCAATAGATTGATTTCTGCCCACAGCTAGGTGATGTGCAGCCTGTATTTCTATCTCCGAAATACAAGAAGTATGGTGCTTTCTAAAATATAAGCATTTGTACCACTGATGACATTAAAATTGTTTTGATGTGAATTAATTGAAAACCTTAGGGAAAGGTCACAGCTAAATTCCAGACAACACGGTATCTTTTTCCAAGAATTTACATCCTGCATTTATTTTGAGCTAAGAGAATCTCAGGCACATTGTCAAAAATAATAGGATATTAAAGTTAAAAGGGATATTTCCAGACAAAGCTAAAAATCTTTTCTATAGCATTTTGGACAGATGGCTGGCTAGCTGATCCTGAATGCCCCTAATGAATAATGAGGAGTACACTTTCTGTTTTTTATGAAGCTACCTTGCCCCACCATCTTAGGAGGGTTTGTTGTCAATAGTCCGTCTCTAATTTATAGTGAAGCAACTGTTTCCTTGGACGAAAATAAACTATTTGAATTCATAGCAGTAGAATAAAACAGAAATTCAGAATCTCTCTGCCTCTCTTACAAAAGGGTGTGGGCAATACCTTGAAATTTATTTTTATCTAGACTAATATAAGCCTACTTACTAATATATAAGGAAAAGCGTTCTTTGGGAAATTTACCAGCAATTTAAATGATAAACAGCTGAAGGACACACTCTGAGTAATACACAGTATACATATTGACTTCCTCAAGGGATGGTAGATAAATCAATTTAAATTTAGCGCAATGACAAAAATAATCATGAAACAATGACTTTATGCACAGGGTGGAGGTTTTTCCTGATCTAAAATTCTGCTTATGGATTTCTGGTTATATTCTTAGTGGTTAATTCCATTGCCTTAAAATAACTTGCATCAGGTGCAAACCCCTCAACCTGGACACTCGAGTCCATTAGAGTTTGCCCGTCACCTTATGAGATCAATTTAATGAATCATGGCCAGCATTTAAAAAAAAAAAAAAGAAAGAAGCAAAATGGACTAGAAAAGAATAAAAAAATCAGAGTAATGTGTGAGGGCATGGGAACAGTAAGTATCCTTTCGCGGACTTTTGCTTTCTGCCACGTGTGCAAGTGAACTGGGTTGCACTCAAACCTGTTTGTTATTGTGGTAGCAGAGTGTGAA